CATTTGTCGGATATCATCACCTAGAGCAGCATCACCCTTTTGTCGTCTGCGTGATTCAAGCTTAGCTTACCATTTGTTCTGGTGTCTCAAATTTTTCGTCTTAGATAATTAAGCAGTAATGATTTTAATGTTAAATCTATTTAATCTTATCTTCTAAGACTGTAATGTTTTTTTTTCTCTTTTATTAAAACATGGTACATAAATAATTCATTGTACAAAAGCATACTACATACATCACATAGCTACTTGAGCATCAAAATCAAAATCACAAGTAATTGCCTATTTCTAGACATAGATTATCCTTAATAACATGTGCCTTCCGTAGAATTGCGTTTTGTAGACAAAGAGAATTTTTTAACTTATTTCGAAAACTTTCTGAAGACATATTTTCTTTTTCAAATCTACATTTCACTTTATATTTATAGATGTTAAAACATATAAAAGACAATAAATTATTCAATCTCGTTGTTTTTGAATTGATTTCATTGTAAAAATCTAGAACAAGTATTTTCCATGTGACTTCAAAACCCAAAAATAAACTAATTTTTTTCCATATATTTTCACAGATTTTGCATTTGTACAACAGATGTTCATTGTCTTCAACAACCATACAATATTCACAATAAGGTTCTACATCTTTGTTCCATTTACTTACATTTAGATTATTATTCAATATGCAATTCAGTAATTTATAATTGAATTCAGCAACATTTTTTTCATACATATACTTAATTTTAGCTAAATATACATTTTTCCAGATATATTTGTAACCAAGATCGAAAGTTTTTTGCCACATATAATCATAAACTGGCCTTTGAAATTTAATGTTTACCAAAACTGAATAATAAAAATCACATTTAAGATTTTCTGGAGTTCTTATGCTATTATCTCTAAATAAAAATGACATTTTGTTTTTAATATTAACAAATTTAGCATATGTACAATCAAAATTGTTTTTGTATTCTCTAAGTACTTTTTTTATCATAATATATTCACAAAAAATATTGTTTTTCTTTTCCAGTATGTTGTAAAAATGTTCAATACTAAGAAAGTTTCCATCATTATCGAAAAGATCTTTGATATATAGAATATTACTTTTTATCCAGTTTTCAAAACAAAGAGGTTTAGAATCATACTGAAACAAATTATTGTTCCAAATGAATTCCGATAAAAATTGGTCTCTCTTTAAAGTACAAATTTGATTAACGTTTTTACATTTATTGAAAGCAGAAAGGACCTCACCATAAAAAAGTGGTATTCTTATCATCTTAAAAAAGGCAGTATTTTCAACGTTAACTACACTTGTTTTGATAATATCATTTACTGATAGGTTTTTAAGATTAAGAATATTGTTCAACATCTTACATATTATATTTTCTTTATCTAATAATCGTTTTATCCAGGATGCTTTTGCTGCAGTAAATTTACTCTCTATATCAACAATACCTATTCCACCTTGGTCAACTTTACCGATTAGCGTATTTCTTTTTATCCTGTCTTTTTTCTTCCATATATACAAGTTTTGATACTTTTTTAAAGAATTCTTTTTTTGGATTTGACAAAATAAAAGCATTATATACCAGTTTAGATAATGCTAGTGTATTAATTATCATGGTACATTTTCCAAAGATTGTTAAGTTTCGCCTTCTTCAAACGCTCAGTATTCTTTCAAGTTTCTCCAATTTATTTGTCCAGTTCATATCATAACAAAAATCCTTATCATGACCGAGATATATACCTAATGATTTTACATGGCTTTTAGCAATTTTTTACACCAAATATATGATTTTCGTTTAAATATCTTTCAATAAATTTTCCTGTTAATAAGCATTCTGTTTTGTCCAAATTCAATTTCGGGCCTGCGACTTTGCTAAATTCATTTATTGTTTCTAAAGCTTTTTTCATTGAATTAGTGTCTTTCAATAGATTAGTGCAATCATCTGCATGTTGAACGATTTTTAAATTTAAATTTCCATTATCACCTGGCGATAAGCCGATTATTTCTTCATTATTTTTAAGCTGAACTGCTAGTATTTCTAGCACAAAGATAAATAAAAGCGCTGATACAGGACAGCCTTGTCTAATCCCTCTTTGCATTTCACATGATTTTGACATCCATCCATTATTTTTAACTTTGAAGGTTGGTTTGAAGTATAATGTCTTTATCATCTTGATGAAGTTTTCTCCGAAATTGAATTTTTCTAGAGTTTTGTACTGTAATGTTGATGTTTAACTTCCACACTGGACGGCTCGTGGACTAGTATCAGGACACAATAATATTTAGTATCCTACTTCTGACACCAGTTTGTAAGCTACCCCAGGGTTGGTTAGTATTTCTGAATCCTCAACATCTATGTAGGACTAGTTTATTATCTAAATAATTCATCTTTTGTCAGGATGTACCACTAATTAAATTTATTCTTATATAAATTCAACAACCAGGCACCACTCTATGTAGATTCTTTGTTGAATGACACTCAAGCTGATTGATCAGTCATACTCATCATTTAGTGTATGTGCATCATCTCATTATCATAACAATGTACAAATATCAATATAAAACATGGCTGATTCTTCAGAAACACAAGTTTAAGTCGTACAGTGTGGTAGGAGATTTCAAAATAGGCTATATATACGTAAATGACATTATAAGTTTCTCACCGTCTTTGTTTTCTATCTTTCAGTTTTCGAATGTTGCCGTCATACAACTAACTGAAATCTGTCGTATCGTAGTGCGCGCTTGCTTATATTACCTCCTATTCCCTGTCACATGACTCAAATTACCCAATGAATCGAAGCTGTACAAACTATGAACCAATCAACAGCTTGAGTTCCCACACAAGTTCCCACAAAGAACTACTTTTGCCACACAAGCTACCGTGTAACATCGTAACAAATAAAATTATTAAAAAATAAAAAGTGGAAATATAATATATAATTAGCCTGACTAGACGAATTAATAAATACCTACAATGTTATTGATGTTATTAAAAAATCTCTAGACTGTACAACATACACTGAAAAATGTAGCGTATGAATATCCTAACTACCGACAATAGCGTAAACAAATGTAGTCACGATAAAGCTTACTGATTATAAAGTTAATGCTTACAATAAAGAACATTTTATAGGCTCAAAATAAACAACAGTTCAAATTAAAATATAGATTACGATCCACAATTCTTATCGCAAATCTCGATTGAAAGTATTCGCATCGACTTTATTACCATTGCGTTGAGTGACGACACTGATGAATCTGACTGAAATACAATTGCTAAATCTAACAAAGAATCTGATTGGTGCTTTTCTATAGACCCGTCCACTTTCTCATGGAAACAGCTGTAAACAAGTGGTAGGCCTCTCCTTACTGAGCGAAGTATATAGTGGACCTTTGTAATACCTTATTATTAAATTATTGTGGATGTTGGTAACCTGTATAATGATCTTCAAATTAATAAAATCCGACCCAGGACTAGAAGTTGACTTAAAATGATGCACGTCACCCGGGGCATATTTTTGCGATTGAAAAACAGGGACGTTTTAATTCCCGTTTTTCTACAGTATATCAAATAAATTAAACATACTTAAATTTGGAAAATGTATCAGTGATATTAATCATTTTATAGTGAATATATGGATAATATTGGCCATTACAGTAAAAAGTGCACTGCATGAATAAAAAAGAACAAAACATACACAAAAGGATTAAGACTTTTTTCTGATCGCATGTTTTAATATTGCCATGAAAGTAGTAGCACACACACATTTGAAACATGGTATTTTTGACAGTAGTTAACTTTTGAATAAATCCGATGTTTAACCACATATGAATATTTTTTTCATCAGATCAGATGCTCCGTATTAGCTGGATATGCTGTTTACGTAAGTACGCGGTGCCATGCAACACCGAAAATGGAAAATACCGTGAATAGAAAATCGGCAGAATTACATGTACAATAAAATGAAAATAGGTGTGTCATCGAACGCTAAAAACATGTACCGTCTGTGAAAGGAATATATCACTTTCTAAAAAGTGATTTTATAGTTTGTTTGTTCGTGTATTTTGTTCAAAAAGTCAACATAGCCATAGGTTTTCGACAATCTCATCACAAGGCCGTTGGACGCTTTCCAATTTAAATAGGTAAAGGATACTGCACGAGAGTGGGCGGGTCCTTATCAACCAATTAAATCGCTTGTTTTATAGAATGAAATCTGTGATTCAAATTGTTCAATTGTCAAATCCAATAGTGTCAATACTCAGGGCAACGCTATTTCAACCGCAGTGTAATACTTTCGAGCGAGATTTGCGATAACATGAATAGAAAACAACACTACTAGGAAACACATATAGGTCGCCAAACTGAAAATGACGACCCTTACAAAGTATGATGGCTTCCAAAACATGAAATGTTAAATCCACCCTCTATTCCCCGATATAATAACTCCTCGATCTTTCATGAAGCGACAACAGGTAAAATATGATGATAATAGCTAATACTTAAATCGTATCTAGATAAGCGGACATTTATTTTCAATTAAATTATAAACGAACAACTTTTCTGGCAGGCACATGAAGAACATAGATTTAACAAGAAAGAGAGCTGCTGGACGACAGTATAATATTAAGTTTAAAAATCAAGTGATACCGGTATATCAAAATATACTGAATTGACACCGGATTTTTTGTTATTTCCCGATCATGGCAAGGAGCACATTGTGGAGGTGACCGGTTAGCAGGGATTGCTTACTCCTCCATGGCACCTAATACGGACCTTACAATGACTTTTTTCTTGATTTTTATATTTATTGAATTGACAAAAATTTGAAAAGATACTGATGAAAAAATTGAAATTTTGTTTATACTTTATATCACTTGAATTATTTCAAGCCCAATTTCTTATGTTGATTTTCTTAATCAAAAGTACCAGACGAATGGAAAATATTAAGTTTGTACAAAAATATCTTCATAATATCGACCAGTCTATTTGACCATTCTACAGGATATGACTGTCCTGAAGATACTGGACCCATTCCAGACCCTGGGAACCCTCCTGTACATAGTTTTTCAGTGACAGATGGAAACATCACTTGCATTGTTTTCAGAGCTGGAATTAAGTTTAACATTTCTTACACGTCACAAAATGGGGTAAGTGAAAGACTATCTACGAAGATATATGCAGTTGAGAATAAAATAGTACTGGTAATATTAAAAAGTTTACTTTTCCCTCACACAAAGATGCTAAGTTTTCCAGTGAAGCTGAGCACTGCTGAGGTTGCAAAAATCTATACTCATATATTTTTATGCACCAGGATCGATAGATCCGGGGGCGTATATTGTTTACGTCCTGTCTGTCTGTTTGTTTGTTTATCTGTTTGTTCGTTTATCTGTCTGTTGTTAACTTTAACCTTCGCCATAATTTTTGAACCATTAGAGATAGAGACTTCATATTTGGTATGCATAATGCGCTTATTACGTTCTTTCAAAAGTCACAAAGATCAATGACTGTGTGACCTTGACTATGACCTAAATGCTGTAAATAGCCTTTTCGAACTTTTTTGCTGCCGGGTGCATAGTGTTTCACAAACACATTTTGTTTTCAATATTATCGTTTGGGGATACTAAAAGTATATTTTTAAGCATATGTCCTCATTTTTTAACTAAAATTATATGAACAAACATATGGAGATAACGAACAGTATTCAAGTTCAAAAGACCATAAAATCAATACAAAATAGGAGAAGGGAAAACACAGATCTCCAAAACATAAGAAGTTAGATCAAGTGCCATGGAGGAGTCAGCATCCCCTGCCGACTGGTCACATCCGCCGCGTGCTCATTGATTAGGAAATAATGGAAAATCCATCGTCAATTCAGTGTATAATTATAATGGACTAACAATCAGTATGTAAAACGTCAGTCAGCATTTGACTCAATGAAAAAATATATTTGCTGGCAAGTTCATTGTATCGACCATAAAACTTACGAAATGATGACTTTTAGAAAACGATAAAGTTGATATTTTTGTGTCATCAACGTGTTTGTCAATAATTTACCTCGTTTTAGAAATTTTTCATAGTAGAGCATGTTCTTATGTTTCGAATAAACTATGCAGTTGATGAAGGTACAGTGTTTATTGCTACAGAAATAAGGGGAGTTGAATGTCCTTATATTCAAGAAGTATTGATGTTATAATTTTTGCAAGTATTGCGTATATTCTTGTAATACACTTAAAATTCGGTTTTTACTTTTGAAAAATAAAACTCATGTAAATTCATATTTTATTTTTTTCATGTCTTCTCTTCATTTTTGTAGGATACAACAGAAGTTATTTCTCTACCAGTTAATTACAATGGAACTGGTGATTGCAACACAACATTGAATGGATTTTACTCACAGAAAATGGTTGTTTCATTTTACAATTCCTGGGAGTTAACAATTTACTTTTCCTCTGATGTACAACAAAGTGAATATTTAATAACTACGGAGAGAGTTACAAAGTACCACATCTCACAGATTGAGCTCGTTTACGATTTTAACAACAACCTTTTTACCAATGTAACAGACAGCAGTGAGTAATATTAGTTACTTTTTCAAATAAATAGCATTTGAAAAATTGTTTTTATTACATATAAATTTCAAATACAATGAAGCGCATTGAAGTGGTAAAATTTTCGGTTTGAATGGAACGTTCTGAGCTCTCTTAAAGCCGCTTGGTCCGATTCTAATCGCTAAAAATATATATTAGTTTTTCTTCTTGAAAAATTATTGTTCATAAATTGTTTCAACTTTTGTCAACTTATATCCCCAAAGTCTTTTTTTTAAAAAGATATCAAAATTCAAAAGTTAAAAAAAATAATTTTTGTTGGGTCACACAAAAAATAATCCTTTGTTTACATTGCGTGAAATCACCTCTGAAAAATTTAATTTATCGCTTTCATGTATAACGCATGAAGAACAAACCCGAGCATTTTTTCCACAACAAAGTGTACACGGCAATATTCTAGCCCTCGTTACTAAACTCCCTTTTAAAAAAAATCTTTTAAAATATCTGATTTTCCTTTATTCTGAAAATATGCATATTAACATAAAAATTACTATGGATTATATTCAGTTTATTTCTTAATTTTTAAAAGATATATCATGACTAATGGAAAAAACACTTGGGTTTGAATTCTCTTCATAATTAGATATAACCGATAAAAGTATTTTTTTCAAAGGTGACTTCAAAACAGATCTTAACTTCTCGCCAGGAACTGCTGTCTGTCAACAAGTTTTTTGGTCTCTGTTTTCCATGTAAGGATTGTTGTAATAAACTAATAAAACAATCTTATAATTAATTTTTATATATTATCTATGTAATGACGTACTTTTATTGTGTAAGATAATATGTGCCTGTTTTGGGTTAAGCGGCTTTAACTGTTTAAGACAGACCCATTTCTTTAGAAAAGAAAAATCAGTCAAATGATTCAATCGAATACCTGTAGAACAGGTATTCCAAAAATATAATAGCCAATCAAATTTACGGTCCACATAAACAGCGAGTAAGCACGTGTTCGACTGATACATGTGTTATGCTTACTCCAATAAACATGATAAAATCATAATTATGTACAAATTCGTTGCAATGCGTGTTTTACAAAAGCGGAGACTATATACATATTTTTTTTTTATTTAAAAATCTTCAATTTAGTGTAACTCATGTTGCTTGTCGCGGAAAGTGGGGTGTCCTGAAACATTACGACGAATACTTCTTTCTCGTTTTTAAAGAAATGGGCGTGTTGTTATGTTATAATTGACGGTCAAAACATGATTCAGAATGTTTTATCCAAATGGAAAATTTTACCACTTCAATGCGATTCATTGTAGCTTCTTCCGAGCCGGACTTATTTGTGTTTTTCGTTTTTTGTATTGGGTTTATGGCGATGGATACCTTTAATTATGCTTAATACTTCGTAAAGTTAAATTTGGATCTCCCTAGTAGTTAAGGTAGTTTATTTGTAATTAGTTTTTTTCGTCATTGATAAATGACAATATCCATCAAACAATGTATTATAGAGTTTTAAGGAAGTAAAAATTAACAAAGCTGCAGGACCAACTGGGAACTGGTTTTCACGCATTCTTTACAATACAGGCATTTGTCTAGCATAAGATAAATGGAGGGCATAAATGTTCTTTTGAAAGATTAAATCAAGTGGGTTTCTCCAAAGTTTTTGAACTATAAAAAATGTGCCTCTTGAAAATTAAAGTTTTTTTATGGTTGTTGTATTTCTAATTATAGAACATTGTTGGACCATTGATACATGCATACGTACACAGGGTTGATGTCTTACAATTCACCAGGTCGATTTTATTTCTTTTGTAGTTGTCTGTAAAAGTGAAATATCTTTTGCTACCAATCTCAGTTTACTATCAACAGAAATAGATAAAAGCTATAAGTGTGAAAAAGAGTCTACCATCAACATTCAAAATGGTTTATCTATTATTACCAAAGAACTTCAATTTCAGGCTTTCAAGAATGAAAACAGTAGGTAACATTATTATTATTATCATATCATTATCATTATTATTTTTAAATCTACAATTTTTAAAAAAGCACATTTGTCTATGTTAAGGTTTTCTTCTTTATCTGTGTAGATGTGTCATAGGATGCATGTACATCAGAGTATGCTATGTTTTTTTTTTTTTGCAAAGACAAAAGGATCATTATGTTAAAAATTGTTTCACACAAACAAACAAATTATTTACAAAAATAACAAAAACACTTGTCTAGATAGGAATGGAGGCCCTTGCTTGCCAGGATTTGATAAACGTAAACATTAATCAACAAAACACAATTCTTCAATGGTACCGATTTTTTACCTTCCTTCTACAATGTATCAGAAAAGTAGTTAATCAAATATCGCAATACACAATGCATTTGAACACAGTGTTTATTTGTCCTCCTTTCACTGATTACAAATATAATGCAAAACCTGTATGAACACAATTATGCTTCCCTCGTCGCCCTTGAAATACCATAGATAAAAAAACAACAATGATGTTGAAAAAACTATGGAATCCTGTAAGTCCTCAGCAGTTACGAGGTAAACAAAATGAATGGCGGACTCATTCTCACATACTTACATAAGTGTAATAAATTATAATGTACAATTAATTGACTTGTTTGAATAAATCATATATAAAATAAATGTATATAAGAACTATCTTTTTAATAAACTTTCTCTTATTAAACAAAGTACAAAAAGAGGGTGGGTTGATGGGTATGAATGTGACAAAGAAAAAATTTCGAGTGAGTTTTAAAAGCATGATTGAATGTTTACCTGTTCACCTGTTAATACAGGTATCGACCTTTAAATACGGAACAATAGCTACGACAGCTTTTATTAGCAGATATTAAACGAAAGCAAGCGTTCCTAGTACATATGATAAATTAATTTAAAGTCCTCGTGTTTCATTCACAGGTTAATAGGTAACATTGATTTTTATTATGACAAAAAGATCAAAGAAGAAGTTAGCACATGTATATATAAAAACTCAAAGTCATGATGAAAGCTGGCATACTAAGAGTTTTTTTCAATTCTCTTTATATAGCGGCAGTCAAGTGTAAAGAAGATGACTATAATTACATCCTGTTAATTTCCATAGGAGCAACATTAGGAGGACTTCTACTTTTAGTCATAGTGGCTGTTATTGTACACAAGAAACGTAAAAGTTATGAACAATTAACATATTGATTTCCAATTTTATCAATAAAACAGTAAATTTGTGATGAACATGTATACATATCACGGTATGTCGAAGCTATTTTGTTTTTGAAGACATGCAACGCATTCAGATAGTGCAATATACCAAAATACTTAAGTAATTATATTTTTCTGAAAATAATTGAAAAGTTCTTGACAGTTGCTGATGTTATAATGCACATGTTTTTTGTATTTATTGAACAATTGAAAATAAACTTAAAATACTGTTATATTAGATATAGTTAATTCAAACTTATAAAATGTTTAGTTCCATCGTTAATGAAATATTATAGCATTAATTCATATACAAATAAAATAGTATTTTAAACCCTAAAAATAATTTAAAAGGACTTTTGTCGGTAATAAGCAATATTTGCCACAGGCACTTGTTTCTGTAATAAATTTTAACCCATAGTATAATAATAACACAAGGTATCGCACTCTGATTTTCACTGAGTACCCTTCCCCCTTAGAATCGCGCTTATTTACACTTTCAGAGGAAATGCACGGGTCATCTGTTTATACATATGTCTTCTACGATAATTAATTTAAACAACCATATATGACATGCTCATCTTTATTTTCTTTTATCTCCGCAATCAGGTTCAAAACCATATATGACATGCTCATCTTTATTTTCTTTTATCTCCGCAATCAGGTTCAAAACTCTGCTAGCCGAGTGGAAAGTGAAACTACACCATAGAATGGTATGTTCTAGTCTCGGGCAAAGAATTAGACCTCGAATTTGATTGGCCAAAAATCTGTTTCTAAAATTAAATCGGAAGACACTATGAAATTTTATTTATTCAATGCAATATCAAAATCTGGAGTTGAGCTTTTAAACCTACGCATTCTTTAATTTTTCTCTTTGCCCGAGATTAGCACATACCGCATTATGGTTTCTACTGGGCGAGTAGAGTTTTGACGCTGTGGAGGGAGGGAGGGAGGAAGGAGGGAGGAAGGGAGAGAGAGAGGGAGGGAGCGCGCGCGCGCGCGCGCGCGCGCGCGCGCGCGCGCGCGCGCGCGCGTTACGGAGATGAAAGAAAACAGAGACAAGTAAGTCATATATGGTTCTGTATATAAACAAGCTAATTCAGAGAATTCGTTTCCCCCGCTTAGGGAAAAAGTCGGATCCCCCTGACTGAATTTGTAGAGTTATTAAATTAAATACATGTATACTGAAGCAAGTAAAATACATGTATGTCAATATGCGTATAATAATTTGGTTACTTATTCTTTATTATGTGTATAGAAGATTCTTTTTATATGGAATGTTTATCACACTGTAATGATTATTTTATAACCTCAAAAATTATTCTTTTCATATGCTGAATACTATCATTAAAAAAAAGCTAAAAATAGCGACATGTAATAATATAAATACTAATAAAACTAACGGGGCGGGGCACTTTGAGAGGGGCGAGAGAGCACCTAGGGAGTTTTTGTATAAAATTACATTGCATAAGCTCAAAATCTTCTTAAAAATCGCACGGAAATGATAGTGTTACACACAGACAGAATGTATAGATTTACGACCTTGAACTTTGACCTTTTGATCTCAAAATCAATAAGGATCTTTCTTAGGCCACAGGGAGTTGTTATGTAAAAATTTCATTGCAATTGCTCAAATGGTTCTAGAGATATCTTGTGGATTATCGTAGATGACATAGGAATAAAACAGTTTTCCACTGTCTTTTCTCTGAAAGTGTAAATGAGCGCAATTCTAAGGCAAGGGGGTACTCCGTGTAATTTGGAGTTAGATACGAGGGTTCATCCAAAAGTAATGTCAGTGTGTCAATATCTTTAATATTTGGCGTCATATTATCAAATGTCAAAAAATGAAAATAAAATGACGTCATTGCTGTTTGATCATAAACATTGCTGTTTTAATCTGCTGTATTGAATAAAGGAAATGTCGAAATGGAGGATAGGTAACCGCTGAAACGAGCTGTGGTGCATTTTTGCTACAAAATCGGAAAATCGCCCGTAGAAACAGTTACGATGATTAATCAGACATACAGAGGAGAGATTTGTTTATAGATGGTTTCAGCAATTTTAGCGAGTCATGGGTCACTAACTGAATGATCAGCAAAGGACAGAAAGACCAAAAAAGGGAGGTCGGGCGGAAACGTTCAATGGTGTCTTACGTTGTCCAAAGAGAGACGGTTAGACAGTTACAGAGATATATTTACATCCACTGAATAATTTCCCCTTTATTTCTTAAGAAAACCCATTGCGTTCATCACTGCATGAACTACATTGGCATGTCGCAAGTACAGATTTCTTGATCAGTGGTTGTTCCATCAATGAAACGTATAAAGACGTTTGCATTATTAATACAATAATTAACCTTTTTATTCAAACTTTAAATGAATATTTAAACAGATATAGATATAAACAATAAAATGCTTTCTTTGTTTGTTATTACTGGAATGAACGGTCGCAGCTATTGCAGAAAAAATTTACATAACCCGCTTACACGGGTTATGTATTTTATCTGCAACAGCTGCTTCCATTCATTCCAGTAATAATATTCAAAGAAAGCATTTTATTGTTTAAATAAAGAAAATTGTTTGTTTATTGGTACTAATCAAAGAATTTTGACAAAGGACTAAATAATATGTAAAGTGAGTGTATAATGGGTGCCAATCATTCTTATAAAAATAGAAATATATGTGACTGTGTTCGTAAATCTCAAATATTTTTAATGAAACGAAGGGGAAGCGTTCAAGTGTATGACGGTGCGTATCCGTTATACGACGTTATTTAAGTGCGGCGACTACCTTAATTGCATTTTGTATATAATTCCATATTTCAAAAAGTATGAATCATTTTAATTTTAATTTTTTTTATGACTGATAAATATAGCTTCAGGCATGTATAATTTCGTTGATTTACGTCGAATAGTAGCAATTTTATCGAAGTATTGACATTACTTTTGGATCAACCCTCGTACCTTGTGTTATTTTATACTATGGGTCAAAAATTTATTACAGAAACAAGTGCCTGTGATATTTGCCCCCAAAATCAAACTTTGACGGAGAAATATTTGATTATGTTCTAAAACAGGGGGATAGATGCTGACTTCATAGCAACGAATATTTTCATAAGCAGTGACGTCGTATGCTTGAAATGACGTCAGGAAAGTTACGTAAATTTTAAATTAAAAATTTCTACAGAAAAATGCATTTAAAACGTCGATATTTTGAGTAAAAGTAACAGAGCGCAGGTCTGCTCAGGCTCAATATGGCGATAACTTGTAGGATGATAATATCAATAAATTATGTTAATATTGTTCCTGATCAGACCTGATCTATAAATTCGATAACTAAAACTGTTGAATTTTTGTCCATTTTGTCCTTTTTCTCAAAATCATGCAACATCCGACTAGTTTGTGACGCCATAAAAACAAAAATTGTCAATGACCTACTTTGAAACTACTATATGCTTTTATTAATTTATATTTAATTTATATTTCTCATATGCATACACTTTATACAATTCAGCACATTTCAGATTTTTTTTTCTAAATTTTTGTGTGGAGAATGATATATAATATACCGAATATAGAAAATTGAAATTTGCTTTGATCCAATACATGTATATTCAATCTATTAAGATTTTTTGAATTCATGTACATCTCCAATGTAGATAAATTATATTTGATAGATACGACGGAAATAAAACTTTTAAAAGAATACCAGATTGTATCTGTGTAAATATCTTAATTTTGATAAATTATCAAAAATGAAATTAACTAAATTTAGTGACTTTTTAAGGATTACTGGATGGGATCAGCTACAGAAGATGGAAATTTCCTTTATCAAGATATAGGCTATGTGTAAAAAATGGACACAGGCGCTTAGGGTTTACATTAGCTTTAACAAGAAAATATAAGATACTTATAATTATGAATTGTACAATGTACTTCTGTGAGTTGTGCTAAACTAAGCAAAATAACACACTTGTCTTGATTGGGGCCTGATGTCACATTAATCTGAGAACTTTACACGCTAACTCTCGATTCCCGCCTACATTTTACAACCATTTAAAATGGCAATGTGGCCATACAAGCTTTGTTTAATACAAAAAAATTGCATTAAAATTTTTTTTATATCAAAATACTGTTCAATGTCAAAATCAGCAAGACAATGGTGTCCTTTAGCTTGATAGTTTTTACAGCAAAGTGTCAATGACATTATGTACCTTAAAAATGAAAATTCACATAAAATAACCTCTAGGACGAAAGACCACCACTCGCTCTAATTACACCATCTTCTCGTGGATCCATCTACCCCTGAATAGGACGTTTAACTACTGCACTAATCATTCTAAACAGTTGATGTTGTGTGGAAGGGGGGGGGGGGAGAGCTTAGACATTATTTCTAAAAGTCTCAAGTGTGTTCAAGTAGATTCAGATCCGGGGACTGATAGGTCTGTGCATCACACAGAAGCCTTTTGGTCAACGCTTAGACCCTCCTTGGGCATCTTACACTTAGGTGTACCTCTTTAAGGATGATTCAGACTGTTTGAGATGATACATATTCTGGACTGCCAAAAAACAATGTGTTTGTTTTCATTTTCTAACCATTGAAGTTGCTGATTTCAACGTTTCTAAAGTGCCTAAATTTTTAAACCTGGTTGTAACGTGAAACCTTGGTCTCAGACAAAGGTCAAAATCACTTCCGGTTAAATTTTGAGTAAAGCTTTCCGATTGCGAAAAGTTGGTGATGAAAATAATGCACAACCTTTATATAAAAATGTGTTTATGGTTGTAAATTTTTCAAAGTAATATCACGAACAAATAAATACTGAAATAAAAGTGAGTGAAACGTGTCGTAAATATCAGGATGATCCAGATAGCAACATTCCAATGGCTCTCCCTTCTTTCTAAAAGGTTTTGTGTTTTCTTCTAGAAACTAGAACATTATACAAAGTACTAATTTATTGTTTTTAAGCTACGTCACAGAACTTTGGTTCTCATCTTTGATAATTAATATTCTTCGACAATTGTCGAGAAAGCTCAATGGCATGGTTGTGATAATTGAAAATATCATACCATTCTATCATGTAGTTTTTAAATGAACACATTTATTAGAATGGACACTTGAAGTTTTGTTATACGTGTATGTATTTATATTTATTAATCGGTGGTTCCATTCATATTACTTTTTCTTATATTTGCCTTCTTCGTCGCATATTAGAATCCACAAAATTAACAGTTTATAATTTAGAAATATTAAAAAAACATACACATATTAGTTCACACATTGCTGTTGTACTAATATTATTTTTTTTTTTTCAGTAGAAAAAAAATCTATATTTCTGTTATTTTATTACTGTTCCATTTGTTTATAATTTTGATAAAAATATGGAGTAATCTATAGATAATCAATGTTCATCAACATATCAAGGGGAAAAGGTATAAAATGTGCGATATGTCAACAACTTGTGCATCTTGTGAAATAACAGTGTGCATTAAAATCGTTTGATAAAAGTCTACGAAAGTAAATCCTCCAGTTCATACTTTATTATATGTAAACATTTTAGCTTAAAATTTTTCTTGAACGATTTTGGTTATGCCCTTTCCTAGTAAGTATAATTTATAAGGAATTTGAGTTACCCGTACGCTCGATGTCAAATTACATTTGCACAATTTGCGTTAGAACGCTATTCCTATGGGGTAAGTACTCAAACAAAATGCTATCAAAATCTTTTTTTGGATTAAAAATGAGAAATTAAAAAATTGAAAGTAAAAAATAATTTTGATAACTTTTTTATTTTAAAGTTTTTATTAAATTAGAAATTAATTAAATAAATGTAGTTGATTATCTGATTGCCACACTTTCACCACAGCTAGGATTATTGGAATTTTGTACGTCATCAAGCAATCCAAGGATCTATGTAGCCATTGAGTCATTGTGGCAATATTCTTAGGAATTCGGATTGTAAAGAAAATTCCTTGAAATGATTTCTGATGGAATTATCTATTTTTTTAAATAATACAGAATGAAGGTTAGGCATGATAACCAGTATATTTCACCCTTTTATAACAAGAGAAAAAGATATGTTTGATTGATAGATTGTATGTTTTTACGTCCAATTTCCATATCAACATGTTTGAAGGTACATGAATATTTTGAGAAGATTATGATTTATATAGGCAGCATCTATTTCTCTTTATTTCCATAGGTGACATTGATTTACACTTTTCTTGAATATATACGAGTATATATGTTTATGCATTTATTCAAATTTTGCATTACTTTATATTCCAGACTTGTCTTTGATACTAACTATTATTCAGTTTCATTTTACTTTGACAAATTAAGCATTATCCCTGACAAAAGGATCAGAATATAAGTACCTGTACGACAACAATGAAACCTGTATTGATGTCAAGATGGATGTTCTGTTTACTCTGAGTAATGGAAATGAAACTGTAAAATTTGATGGAAGTAATTTCACTGTGAAGAGTGGGGATTGTGCAATTGAAGGAGAATATCAGGCAGTGTTAAACCTGGGAAATTCCTTTGAAGATCTTCTGGCCTTGACTTTCAATATTAACCCTGATTTATCAGTGAACATGAGCTTGATGTTCCTGTTTGCTCCATTTGAGTTCTTTTCAGGAACACCCATAGCAGGTAAGTTTTAATATTGACAGCAATTACACTGTTACCAGTCTTCATTCGCAAGCAAGAAATGTTCCCAAAATGCGTGATCTACTTTAACTCACTGAGATTAATCGCCGCAAACCATTTCTTTTGCCTTTTGCTGAGAATTGATCGACTGACAAAAAAGTTGACGAGTTTCAAACTTTGTTTACAACAATCAATTAATCTACAAAGAGAAAAGACGAGGAATTCTTTCGCCTTTTTATCCCTTTTTATTGCAAAAATATTACATGATAAAAATTACAGCTACAAAAAATTTGTTGGACACTGGAGACTTGAAACTTGGATACATCGATCAGCTTTACCAGTGTGAATCCACTCAGAGAATGACATTGACTGGAGTGCTAGAAGGCACCACTTATACAATGGACATGGATATGTCTAATGTACAGATTCAGGCTTTTAATATAACAAATGGAAAACTCAGCACTTCAAAAATCCAGAATTTTACACATGAGATTTCTGGTATTCTTTTTTTTATGGAACATCTAAAATACGTTATAAAATTTTCACAATTAATTAGACCACACATTATTTTATTAGGTTTTTTTTCAATTACCGCAAACTAATATTGATATAAAATTTAATACAAATAGACACCAGTAGAGCTAAAGTCGTGTTTGTTATTGGTTGAATCTTATTTAAACAACAATACTTATTAGTATTTCATATATTATTTAGAAGAACGACCTGTTTAAAGGTGAACACTTCTCGTAAATAGGCATAGTCCGCCATATTTCCCGTTCTTCAACGCTCTCCCTACAACTCGTATATAAGGAACAGATCGCTAGTCAGTTCAATGTATTTCACTGTAGAGATCCGACGAGTGTAGACGTACATCTTACAAAGCGTGCTACTAAATCTCGATGAAATTATCAAATTTTACGCATTTTTTCCGAAACAGGACAAAAGTATCATTAAAAATGCAGGTCAATACATTATTTACAAACAGAAAATGCACATAAAAACAAGAAATAAACGCAAAAACTCTAACACCACGATAGGAGTACTGCATGTCGGCCACGAGTTTCGAGTGTGCAATCGGGTGTAACGAAAGCGAACGGTTTGTATACCCGGCTGACAGTGCCTATTTACGAGAAGTGTTCAGCTTTAATAAGAATCTTATTCTACACGGCGGGTGTGACCGGTCGGCAGGGGATACTCACTCCTCCATGGCACCTGATCCAACCTCTGATGATTTTGGAGGCCCTTGTTTGCTCTGATCATATTTTGTATTGTTTTCTGTATTTTTGATCTTTAATACTGTCCTTTATCTCCAAATCCTTCTCTACAATACATAAACAAAAATGATGTTTCGGTGAATTTTTAATTAAGGAACTTTTTTATTGCTGAGAGCATGCAACGACAAAAAAAAATGACCCCCAGACCTGAAAGCAAAAAATTGCCTTTTGCAAAAGGTGTATTTTCCTCTCAAATCAGCTTAAAAGCTTAAAATATCATACTTTCCCGGCTGACCAATTACAATCATAAAAAAATAACTAAATTTATATGTGTTTGTGCAAATGATAAATAGACAAATTCTATTAATTTATGCCTAAAAAGTTGTAATATTTAAGTTCTAATCCATGCTGTTGATCTTAGACAAAATGAAGTAAATATTATTTAAAATCTATCTTGCACAACTATTTAACGCTGTATTTCAGTGTTTGTGTGTGGTGCTGATCAGATGACAACTGTAGCACAAGAGACAACAAAAGCAACCTCTGAACCCACTCAACCCACAACTGAACCATCAGCATCCGATGTAACAACCGTGGATCCATCTCATGTAACAACAATGGTTCCATCCAATGTAACAACAGAGAAAACAACAGTTCCATCTAGGAGCCCTACCACTTCACTTCCAAATCCTCCATTTCCCCCCAAAGTCCAGATATGAAGTCATTGAGAACTCCAAAGTCTGTCCCATCTTGGAGGGACGCTTCCAGCTAAAAGTGACTTATATGACAAAGGAGAATAAAACTGTAAGATTTTTTTTGTTATTTTTAAACAAAATTTTGAACACAATCAAATTTTGGTGGACCCTGCAATATATAGTGGGCGTTTCAACGAACGTCCAAACTCTGACATTAAATTAAAATTTAATATGAAAAAATATAAAAAAAACAATATCTATAAAGTAACAAATATTAATACATGTGTAACTGTGTGCATGTATTTGTATAAATTTAGGTTTTTCGCAAAATTCTTCTTTCATAGGCTTTTTTGGACACTGCAAAGTTGGAACATGTTGCTATAACACCCTGTACAAAATATTGTTTAAATAATTTCAGCTTTGTTATGAAGGATTGTTCCACATTTGTACAAACCATGATAATTCCCCTTCTTCAAGGGAAGGATAGTTTTGATCAGGTAATGGTCATCCGAAAGACCTTGGCGGAGCGACAGAAATAGAAAATTGAAAAAGAACAACTTCATCATTAAAACAGCCGAACTCGGGGGATCATGCAGAGATCTTTCAGAAGAATACTCAAAAGATGTCTCAGACAAATCTCCCTAAATCTAGAGTGAAATGTTGTGGGCCAGTATTATGACCCTTACTTGTTCAGTAAGCAACACTTAACACATGTATGTATAATCTATAACAGGCAAGTGCAACTGTGGATGTTCCAGTGAGCAGTGATGTCACTGTAACAGGAACATGTGGAAATGAAAACACCTCTCGTCTAACTTTCACACCAAAAGATGCCGATATTCAATCCTTGAGATTTAATTTCGAAATAATGAACGGGAAATCTAACCTTATATCTTGGTTTGCTGAAGTGAATATCTCAGATGCCATGGAACGTAGGTATCAACAATGTAGTCAATAATTTAACAGCATATCCAATAAGTTTTTTTCCAACTCTCTTTCTCTCGCTCTTCTATCCCTAATTTTGTTAAAATGTTTCCTATATAAAGTTCAGAACGTAAACTAACTATTTTTCACAGTCACAAAATTTCCCCGCTTAGAAAGCTATACCCCCGGGGTATAGTTTTTTGCTATCCACCCGTCGGAAAATTTTCATGCAATTTTTGACGCAAATTTTAATTTCCAGCGTTAAATCAATAGTCTGATGATGTCATTATGACTTCAGTCGCATTGTGACGTCATCAGAATTCAGCTTATTCTTGCAGTATTGTCTAACTCTAACTCTAAAGAGAATTCAAACCTTAAAAATTATAATATACATCAGTATAATAAAACACTTATCCACTGTTTGTGATTAGGATAGCTCTTTTATCAAACCCTTGACAGGAACTATTCCCCTCGGGCAAGCCCTCGGGGAATAGTTCCCTGTCGCGGGTTTGATAAAAGAGCTATCCCACTCACAACCATTGGATAAGTGTATACTATTCACCGGAGAAGCCGTAAAGCTCCGAAATTGAAAGACTACATTCCCAAGACATTGTTCCATGCTCACATTTCATATTTGATATGTTTTATATGATTAATAGTTTCTTCAAAAGTTCGAATAAAGTGCAAACGCTTTAATGTTTGCATGTACAATAAACATCTCTGGCTTTATACGTTTTAAAGTATAACTCTGCCACAAAAATATCTCGTCAAAATAAGATATTTGTTTCCAAAATAATATTCAAAGGTCGTGAACTGTAAACATACTTTTGTTAGGACATTGAAATGTTTTATATAGTTTCAATCTGAATATGCGTTATTGCGAGAATTTATAGCCATTTTATGTTTATTTGTTTATGTTAACATAAATTTGTTAATCAGAAGTGTACTGCTGTAGTATTGATGTCATTTGATAATGTATATATTTATCTCAATTTATTCAGCTGATTTCAATCACTCAGTGACTGCTAAAGTGAATTTATCAAGTCCTAATTTATATTACAAATGTGAAAATGAGGGAAACTTTTCGGACAATAAACTGACCTTCGTGAACAGAGAGTTAAAAGTGCAGGCCTTTAACATTGAAGACGGAAAGTTTTCAGAAAATGGTAAATATTTTGCAAACATACATGTACGAGGGTTGTCCCAAAAAGTCGTAGACAATGTTTATAACTTTTTAAACATGCAACCAATTATAACCAAATTTTGCATAAACATAATTTATTCAAAGTTCTTTAAAATTGAGAATTTTTAAAATCATATCTTTCATATTAACATTATTAAGACGATTTATATTAAGACAGATAAGGTCTGTCGGCGCACGAACAAAATTCGGAATTATTTACGCATATAACTATCACATTTCCTTTATTTATTTTAGTACTATGTAAAACAATGAATTCAAATTTAAATTAGTAAAACCAGAAGCAAAACTTTAATAACATTTCCAAATTTCATATAAATAGCGTTAGAAACATACGATTGGTGTTATGATTTACAAAGTGTTGTTGGAATTAAGTTTGATGAAAATGACGTCATCGAATCTTGTAACCGGCGCACGGAGATCTAATAGATAGTGTTGGATAAGGTTTATATACACCAAATACTGGAAAGAAGAGTACAGAAGTGACATTATATACTAGATTTTAAAAGAGAAGTTATTTTTAAATGGCATGAAATTCAATGAGAGTTTTTCCTCTATACCGAAAATAGTACATCATGTAAGAAGTAGAGTACGTTTGTTAAACGCAGGCAATGAGGGAAAATCGGGACCATGGACGACGTAAAACAATGTGTTTTCTCTGCTGCCTAAAATGTAAGGCGATCGATCTTTCGACTGATTTTCGACTGAAATTCGAACCTGCTTTTTAGAAAAAAGAAAAAGAAAAGCGGACAGTAGTGATTTTTTTTAGTCCCTTAATCAGAAGTGGTCTTTCATTTTTAAAAAATTATTGAATGTTAACAGATACGTGTTTAGCAGAAAAAGAGACCAGGACGTAATAATAAGAAACGTAATTTACGTTTGCTTTGGTGCGCCGATATACACTTACATGCTTTCTTTATTTTTTCATAATTTTCTTATTAAATATGATATCATTATGAAACTTGAGTTGCATGACCCTAAAATGTTACTTCTTGCTAGGACAAGGAAAGAAATTAAATATAGCAAAGAGAAACCTAACATGTTTTCCCTGTCTACGACTTTTTGGGACAACCCTCACATAAGCATTAAGTTAAGAAAAGATGAATGTCCATCTCGTAGTGACATGTTTGTGTGTTAAATGCTCTCTAGAACAGTTACCAATCTCGGTGCTCGATTTTTTTGTACCCTTTATCGACAAACATCTTCGTTTGTAAAAGTTTTTTTAAATCTAAATATTTCTATTATCTTTCAGGAGTGAATTGTGAGGCAGATTTTGGTCCCATTCCAGCTCCAGGCCGCTCTCCTGTCAATATATATTCTTCTGTAATGAATCGAAATAACACATGTGTTGTATTCAAGGGAAGCATTCAGCTCTATATTCCTTAAAAATTTCAAAAAACTGGTGTAATTTGAGATCACAATAATAAGTTTACTTATTCACTTAGAATTTTGAATTTTAAAAGATAATAGATGTACACCTTATGTGCAGATTTTCTGTTCTATTTTATAATTTAATTCTCAATCATTTCATTTCACAATGAGTATCTAGAATTTCTAAAATGTATTAGAAAAATGAATTTGCAAATACATGTACATAAAAAATTCCTTGCTTATTTTCGTGTTTCTTTTCCCTTCTTTTTTCTTTTTCCTTCTTTGTGTTTTTTGCTTTGCTTGTATGAGTTTTTTGTTCCCCCTTGAAAAGTGGGGGATATTAATTTGGGTCTGTCCTATGGACAAAACAAGAACCCTATTTATATTGAGACCAAAAGGTCAAAGGTCAAGGTCATAAATTATCAAATTCTGTCTGTAATAACACTTTCGTTTCCGCGTGATATCTCAAGAACCCTTTGAGCTTTTGCAATGAAATTTTACATATCAACTCCCTGTGGCCCAAGGAAGCCCCCTTTTGATTATGAGGTCAAAGTTCAAGGTCGTAAATTTATATATTCTGTCTGTATGAAACACTGTCCTTTCCGGGAGATATTTCAAGAAGATTTGAGCTTTTGCAATGTAATTTTATACCAAAATTCCGTAAGACCTCTTCTCATCCCTCTCAAAGCGTTCCACCCCGTTTGTTTATGTGTATTTATTGTATTACATGCCGCTATTTTCAGCACAAGTGATAGTATTCAGCAACTTGATTAGGTGAAATGCAAAATTTATGAGATCTGGCTTGTACAAACACATAAAATCATCATTACAGTGTGATAAATATTCCATATAAAAAGAATCTTCTATACACATAATAAAGAATAAGCATTCAAATCTTTATATCCATATTAGCATATTTTAGCATATTTTATTTGCTTCAGTATACATGTATACATTTAATATATCTTCAAATCAGTCAAGGGGATCCGACCCCCTCCCCCCACACTGCGCATGGTTTACTTTTTCCCTAAGCAGGGGACACAAATTCTCTGAATTAGCTTGTTTCTATTGCTGTAAATATAACCTAATACAACATATATTCATAAATGTTAAAAATATTGTATAGATAAAATTAATCACTGCAATTTCAAGCAGATTCTTAAAGCATTTGAATTATGGTTCCAATGCTTTGATGTTTTTTGCCTCCTGAATTTGAGTTTAACATTAATACGACCAGCTAGGGTCTTAACAAAACTTTTATTGTGTTTATAGAGAAAGTATCAAAGCCCTATATTCCAAATATATTGAAAACTTACTGAAGAATTTGTCTGTGCAATATTGTTATTTAATCAAATATTCTCACAAAAAATTGAAATACCTTACTAGGCGTTTGTACACAATATCAGAAGATAATGTTTCTTAAATAAACATTTTGAAAATCATTGATATTGTTATCCTAAAAATTTTAGTGCATCATCCACTTTTACATGTTAAAAATAATTTGGTTATGAAGAGATGATAATTGGGAATATTTCTATACTAGAATTCAGCCTTTAAGTTATCAAATTTAAATTTATCATTTACTGAAGTGTTGAAAGTTGAGGTTATTTATTTTTTGCCCCCGTAATCGAAGATCCGAGGTACCGTATATACTCGCCTATAAGTTGTTCCACCTATAAGTCGGTTGTATCGTTTGAGGTTATTTGACAAGGATTTACCATTGACCCTCTTATAAGTCGGTACAACTGTTTGCCAAAATCAGATGACAATATCTAACAAATGCTCTGATGATTTACGCTGATTTCAATTCATATTTTACGAAAAACTTTAATTTCATATCATAAAAAAAATAAATAATGCCCTCTTAAGATTAAAAAAAAATAAATTATTAAAACTTGCATATAAAATACACGTAATTTATGTATAATCTTAAAATACATAAATGATATAATATATCCATACCTTGTTTAACGATAGCTGTCGAAAATGTTTATAGAATACTTCGATTTCTCATCCAGAAAAATACCAGTCTTTTTATGACTCGCCTATAAGTCGGACATAGACTTTTGGACTAAAATTTAACTCCAAAAATACCGACTTATAGGCGAGTATATACGGTACATGTATTTATGTGATGGATTTTATTTTCATAATGTTAATTAACCACAGAAGTGGTTTCCCTGCCAGAAGTGTACAATGTGTCCGGTGAATGCAACACAACTCTGAATGGACTCTACTCTCAACAAATGGTGATTCGCTTTTACGACACCTGGATCTTGACTATTTACTTTTCAACTGACAAGAATCAAAAGACAGATCTATTATCAGCTACGACTGCTGTTGAAAACTACTACATCTCACAAATAGAACTGAAGTATGAATACAACAACATCCTCTTTAAGGATGCAGTCGATAGCAGTGAGTTTCGAACACGTTTGTTAAGAATTTATGTTGGCACTTTTAAAAAACTTTGAATTCTGGCAACTACGAAAAATTTAAGGCAGAAAAATGAAAAATAAGTCATATAGCTATGTAAAATTGATAATTGTGAGATCAGGTATTAAAAAAATAAACAATTTATAATAATTTGCAGTTCTTGGAAAAGAAATGTCAATTGTTGCTGGCAATCTCAGAAAACTCACAACGAATAATAACAAGAGCTACAAGTGTCAGAAAGAAACTACCTTTCATCTGCAAAATGGATTATCTATGATTATTAAAGACCTTCAACTGGGGACACGGCAGACTTCAGTGGTAAGCTGTACTATTTTAAAAAAATATTTAAAAGAATAGAAACATAATATGTATGAATTAAGAAGTTCCTACTTATGCATCTTATAGAGTTTCTTACAATTAGAAAAAACAATTTCTAGAAGATAATCTGTGACACGATTCAAGCATTTTTGGACACTATAAATTTGTTACCTTTGAAATGACTCTTCCATCTTGACGATGTGTTTGTTACAGAAAGTCTCCTTTTAAGATCTATTAACTCGTTATTAAAAAAACGTGGTGGACACGATATGAGGCATATCTCCTTTTTTTTTTTAAAGATCATGATAATTCTAAATTTCATTTAAAATTTCTATATTGATTTTTTCCTAAACAAAAGTCTTCTGAAAGATACAGAGATGTAGACTATTGTCTTTCTTGCCAAAAATAATATTAATAAAGAGAACACACGGACACGTTATGAGTATTTATATCAACTTCATATAAATTGAAGGAATAAAAATTGCTGACTGCATTATAAAAACTAGATCAAGATACACAGGGTGAAATTACATTTAGTTTTACCATTGAAACTAAAACTTCATTATTATACGATAATTAAGTATCTAACTAATTTATGAAATGACCAACCTTGAATAGAAAAATAAATCTCTAATTACATGTTAGAATTTATCTATTACTAGTATTTTCAGCATATTTTTCAAAGCCAGTAAAATCACCAAATAAAAGAAAATAACTAGTATATACCCAGAAAGCATGACTATTATGGGCCAACATTTGTTTAAGGTTGTATGGTTGCGTTGAGGGAACAACGTTGGGCCAACGTTGGACCAATGTTATCAAGTCAACCTTCTCGACCATGATAGAATTCCTATGTTGGACCAACGTTGGTCCAACGTAAGCAACTTCCATTCACTTTAGATTCCAAGGAAGGAAGGATGCTGGTGTTGGCCCAACGTTGGACCAATGTTGGTAAAACACCCTTAAAAGTGTATTTACAAGTTGGTAGTAGTATGTTGGCTCAAACGTGGGCCCGATGTTTGTTTTACACCTTTAAATAATGTGTCTTATCAAGTTGGTAGTAGTATGTTGGCCCAACGTTTTTCCCATTGTTTGTAATACATCCTTAAAGAAATTGCCTTATCAAGTTGGTAGTATTATATTGGCCCAACGTAGGTCCATTGTTTGTAATACACCCTTAAAGAACATGTCTTATCAAGTTGGTAGTAGTATGTTGGCCCAACGTTGGCACAATGTTTGTAATACACACAAGTGTTATTTTGTTCAGATGTTTCAAAGACGGGATACTTATATTGGGCCAACGTTTGCCCAATTATTATACTGTCAACTAATTGATGATGTCAATCTTATATACTAGCTGCTAAGCTTTACGTTGGGACAACGTTGGCACATTCTGAAATAATTAAGAGGATATTTTATGTCCATGCTTATCAATGGATGAATGCTTTTGTTAAAATATGATATTTTCAACATTTTAACTTTGCACTTAATTGATTACAACACCAAAAAGCGTTTTATTCTATTTTTTGAATTGTGTTTATGCTTATTTATTTGTAATAACCCAGATAGCAGAACATTGTAATCTTACATTATGGTTCTATTATCTATGTTGGGTTACTTTGATTGGGCCAACAATGGCCAACATAGAAAATTCATAGCTGGTCATGTATAATGGTGCGCTAATGTTGAGCTGCTGTTGGCATTATATCATAAAACTATTATCATGAGGGAAAATATTTGTTTGGGGATTGGCATCGGCCCTACGTTGGCCCAATATACCATGAATCTGACTGAGAATCATGGGTAGAAAACAACCGGGCTACTTGTAATATCCGCGCCATTTTTAATCTGACACAAGCGAGCGTAATGGGACTGATACCTTGCATATCTGCATCCACTTTGTAAGTATTTATAATATGTTTGCCTCGGCACAGTTGAATTAACGCTTAGTTTTTAAACGATATCATGTACAAATCTGTGTAAATCAGACACGGGGAAGTGCAGAGGCCAGGTGCTGTTGGGTCAACACTGTACCCCAGATAGCATGCTAACATTGGGCCAATGTAATCGGTTACATCGGGCCAATGTTGGCAAATGACATTGACCCAATTTCAGTTTGCTTATCGGCCCAATGTTGGCCTGATATGTTGGGCCAACATTAGCCCAATGTAGAGTGTTATTTCTACAGATACTGTGAAATCACTAATTTTGTGGGGGTTTAATTTTCGTTGTTTTCGTGGTATGAAGAGACCCACAAATTTATGTCCACCACGAAATGTAAATTTTCATGTTCACAACTACTAAAAAGTTCTTCATCCACGAAATCAAATCCCCATGAACCAACATTTTTTCCCCAAACCACGAAAATTTGACCCCACGAAAATATGTGATTTTACAGTATTGACCCAACGTTGCGCCAACATTTGCCCAATAAATGCGACATTGTTGGCAAAACGTAAACAAGAGCATTTGGCCGATGTTGGCAAATGACGTTGGCCCAGTGTAATTTTGCTACTTGTTGGCCAGATATAATGAACCAACATTGGGCCAATGTGTATAAACATTTAATTGTTACAAATCTGTATATTAACAAATCTGATCGTCTCTATAATCAGAAATAAATCTACAACCAATCCTACTTGAAAATACAAGCTAGCTAAAATAAATTTAAAATCCTTATAATTTATCAAAACAAAATAAATTATCAGTGATTAAATTTTTTTGTTTCTATACAAGAAAAATAAATGAAAGTATAAAATAACAAATGGGTTTTGATACAGTTAAAACAATAAATAATTTGCCCCTTATTTAGATTGAAATTTGTGTCTAGTAGAATTCATTTCCGAAGTCTACCACTTAATTTACTTATATACACTTAAAGTCGAGTACAAGATCAAACATTTTAAAAATGTTGAACTTGTTGAAGTTAAAACAAAATTTATTCAGTACTAAACATACGAGGGTTGTCCCAAAAAATCGTAGACAGGTAAAACAGTTTTGTTTCTCTTTGCCTTATTAAATTTCTTTCCTTGTCATAGCAAAGAGTAACATTTAATGATCATGCACTTCAAGTTTCATGATGATATCACATCTTATAAGAAAATTATGAAAAAATAAAGAAAGAATATAAGTGCACACCGGCGCACGAAAGCAAGCGTAAATTACGTCTCTTATAACGTCATGATCTCTTTGCCTGCTTCACTAGCGGTTAATAACATTCAATATTTTTTTAAGTGATAGACCACTCTTGATTAATAGACATAAATTCAAATTCATTATTGTCCGTTAGTTTTTTACTTTTTTTTTAAAGCAGATTAAAATTTCAGTCGAAATCAATCGAAAGATCGCCTGACATTGTAGGCAGTAGAGAATACAATTTGTTTGACGTCGTTCGCTGTCTAATTTTTCCAAATTGTCTGCATATATCGAACAATACTCTACTTCTTACATGCCGTAATTAACTATTTTCGGTACAGAAGAAAAACTCTCAGTGAATATCGTGCAATTTAAAAGTAACTTCTTTATTAAAATCTGGTGTGTAATGTCACTTCTGTACTCTTTTTTTCCGTCTCCGACGTATATTAACCATATCCAACACAATTTATTACATCTCGGTGCGCCGACTACGCGTTTGACGACGTCATTTTCATCAAACTCAATTTCAACGATACTATGAAAATCATGACACCAATCGTCTGTTTCTAATGATATTTATGTGAAATTTTGACATAATATAAATATTTTTATTCTGGTTTCAGTGATTAAAATTGGAGTGCAATGTATCATATAGAACTAAAGAAATAAATGTGAATGTAATGGGTTATATGCATAAATTATTCCAAATTTTGTCCGTGCGCCGACAGGCCTTATCGGCCTTCATATAAATCGTCCTAATATTATTAATATGAAAGATATGCATTTAAAAATTCACAATTTTAAAGAACATTGACTATATTATGTCTTTGCAAAATTTGGCAAGTATTGGTTGCATGATTAAAAAATTATAAACATTGTCTACGACTTTTTGGGACAACCCTCGTAGATTGGGTTAGTTCAGTGGAACGACAAATTTTCAATACATTTATTTTACGAGGGTTGTCCCATAAAATCGTGGACAAAGCGTTTTTCTCGAAAAGTAATGGGCGTATTAAACTGAAATTTTCAGTAAATGTTTATTCATCATATTTTAAGTGAATCATTATGTTTTTGATAATATATATTCAAAATTAAAGATTTCACTCTGCTTGAATGTGCACAAGGTACGGTCCTACGGCGCACGGTAAAAATAGCAAGGTTATATTAGACAAGACATATGAATTAATTTGTAATAAAAGTTTTCAATGCAGAAGATTAGGATGAAAATTATCCTAATTCTATTCCTTAATCAATTCTGTCGTCTTTTTAAAAAATTTCAAGGCATTTGGTTGATTTTTTGTAGTTTCACGAGCATTTGAAATGGGAAAGTAATAAATACAATACACGAAAAATGGCGACTTTTTATGACGTTACGGCGCAAGGGAGAGCAGTTCAGATAGATTAGGATGTTGTAATGACGCCTTAAGAGACTTTAAATGAATACAGAAGAAAGAAAATATGAAAACTATCACCACATCTTTAGTATAGAATTAAATAAAAGTTTTCTTAGTGAAGTCTTCGTGGTCGAGTCCCCAGATAGTACAAAACATATGGACAGACTGCCATTTGTAATAGCAAAGGAAGCTGTCACTGTCGACCGTCGATGTGAGATTCTCTTTTAGTTGAATGATGGTGAGAATACTGTATCGCATGAGTGTGCCACATTGGTTTCTTAACTGGTTATAGATACTCACATATGTAAATCAATAAAATTTCTAAATTTAAGTGGGGTTTATCCAACTTTAAGTTTAGCAAAGATGAAACCTGACGCTGTTTTAGACACTTTGACGTTATCATCCGTGCGCCGTAGGTCAATACAGTACATAACATAAAATATCACAATTTGTTTACCTATGCATATATCTATTTGAAATTTGCTATGCATAATCATAATTTATCTACTAAAAAGTGGTGAAAATTTCAGAACGCAGTGATTATTATTTTTCAAACTAGACAACTTGTCCACGATTTTACGGGACAACCCTCGTATGTGGAGCAACATTGAGTCAAAATCGTTGTGATAATGGTAATCAAGCTTAGAAATGCTATGCATAAATGCCTTCATCATGCAAGCTAATCACTTAATCACACCA